GAAGGCAACCATGTGTTCTTGGCCTTCACAAAAGCCTGTGCCTTTTTCACTAAATGTGCTTTTTTCTCATCTGCTAAACATCCTCATAAGACTTGGTTCAGCTCAAGGAAAATCTCGCTCACAAGTGCTTCTTTGACCGCCTGGCCTCCTCACATAAGGATGCTCTCTCACTTCTTTGTGGCTCCCAGATGCTCCCTGTGTGCATCTCCCTCAGAACAGGTCCACCACCGAGGCCCTTGCACTTGTTCACCAGCTAGTAGAGGCAGAGACGACTCCAGTTTTCTCACTCCTCGAATACGGCAGTTATCTTCATCACCTTTGTCCTGTGTATCAGTGGTACAGAATTCATTCAGTCCGTGTTGAGTAGTGTTTTTCCTGTAGACTTGACATTGCTTATGAACTCTACTCTTACTCATCACCTGCTCCTGTGCATGGGGATATAACAGCATCCATATTCTGCCCAGGTCAGTTCTAGGCACCTTGTAAATTAGGAAACCTATCTTACATTCTTTCCGCTACATCATTCAGTGAACCTTGTGAACAGGCCATTGTAGAGTCAGTGATGATGACAAAGGAAAGCATGATTTCCAGAGCCCTGAGCCTCCTGAAGACCCAGAAACAGATGCAAAATGCAGTTCCTTTATTCCTTTCCCAGAAGTCTAAGGTACAGTTCCATAACTGCTTATGTCATTCATTGACAAATATTTATTCTGATTCTAACTGCACAAACGATGGTCCTGCTTAGTCCCTGTGAATACAGCAATGAACAGAAATAGAAGAACTTGCCTTCATGGGGCTTACCTATGAGGAGGGAAGACAGACCCTAAGCAAGTACCCATCCTCTCTTCCTCCACATGGTAAGATTTTCTTGCTGACCCACAGTGGTGTGGAAAATAGGTGGGCATGGCATAGGGACATGGGAGTTTGGAATCAGGTAGGTGAGGAGATTCTTGCTGGTGTCCAAGTGAGAGTTGATAGGAGCTCAGTCCAGGGTGGCAGCAGTGAAGGGGTTGGAAATGGTTGGATTCTGAGTGTGTCTTGAAATTGTAACTGGCAAGACTTGCTGACTAACTGGCCATAGAGTGAGATAAAGAGGTAGTTAAGGTGGGCACCCAGCTATCAGCCCCAGAGACTGAGGTCTCTATCCTTTGTCCTTTAGAAGCCCAGTTTCACCCCAATCTTCATATCTCTTGTGAATTCCTGGAGTGTCTGGTCATCTCTGGTTTTGCTGTTCCTCTTTCTGTCCATCCTTTGGTCCCCTCTGTATCTGTCTGTCCTCTGTAGCAGCTCCCCTCCCACCTTGTATTAGCCGCTTTCTGATGATTCATATCTTTCCTATATTTCCATCTGGTATCATTTTTGTAATGTATTTTGCCCATGTTCTGTTTTTGGTTGATTCAG